AAGGATCAATCCTGGGCTCGTCGCAACCTAGTTGCAAACCGTTGGTATCGAGATAGCCAACGCCGCCCCATCGATCTGTCCCTGCATACGACTGCCCTGTGTTGGTGAAGGTACGGACGCTTTTCCACTTCGTAGCGCTCTGTGTAATAGTTGATGAGCATCGCCATACCTCGGCTAATTTTCAACCCAAGATAAGCACCTGCTGCAGTTCCTGACGACTCGATTTTCTCTCCATCCGTCTCGAAGTAGCCCCTCCTTCTCATTTAACGGAGATGTTATGCGCCACAGATAATCCTAGGAAAGTGGTATGGATTTTCCAATGACCTCTTGTTAATCCTTTCCCCTACTATAAGACAGATGGAGAGGAAATCGAGTCGTCAGAAACTGCGGAAGGTATTGACCTTGGGTCCAAAAATAGCCGAGATATGGCGATGTTACTCAACTAATGCGTCGAGCGCCACGAAATGGATAAGCGTCCGTACAGGCATCAGCACAGGGTAATCATATGCAGTGACACATCGATAGAGCGGCGTTGGCTATCTCGGTACCAGTGGCCCGCAACTACTTTGAGACGAGAACCCAGTACGGGTACAGAAAGTAGTGCTTTGAAAAATTTTAAATTATTTACAAGTGACAAACAATGGTAAATGGAAGGCATAGTCTTAACGGCATACCTATGCATCCACTACGAGTTAGCAGCTCAAGGACTGCTCGATCAAACAGTCGCTGATGTGTGCAATTACTTTTATTAAAGTCGAGCATGGGACATTGTAGAAAGTAGGTGAAGAAACGAGAGATGCGGATGAAAGTACCGGGCTTCACTCCAGGTTGTTGGTACGATGAATAAAGATAGGTGTGGTGGTGTCGCACCTGGTGGATTCAAACCACCGAGTAAGTGCGGACGAGACGTGTCAGTCCAGCTACATAGCTACGTGGATGTCACAAACTAATGCTCAAATACACCTCATCGCGGTAGCAGTAGTGACGGGTATGCGGCTTCGAAATCAGGAAAAGACGCACGAAGAGTACCATCTGGTCTATTCACAGGTTGGATCTGCTGACGGCGGTGATCACACCACCTCCCACAAGTGAACGCTGACAAAATCAATCACACATCATCATCATCATTGATTCGGTGTTGTTACTCGCAGAACCACCGTAGTAAACTTTACGACAGATTGTGGCGTAACATTATGAGAATAACCTGTAGAAAACAAACTTGCGCGCTGACTGTTAACTTCAATTTCTCCTCCGGGAACATCGCTTCAACTGAGATAGCTCAAGAGTCGCACTATTTCCTCTGATGACTTTCTTCAATTCGATTTGGTTTTCTCACAACAATTACCCATAGCATTTCAGCAGGTTACTTCATTAGGATGGGATATCGTAGGTGCCCATGCAGCCGAGGTTTTCCGTAATCATAGTGCATAGTAATGACATAATTCAAGTGCCCGTGGAACAGATCGTACACGGAGGAAAGAGTCGAAAGAAGTGCATGTTCAAAGAAAAGACCCAAAGATGATTAGACGCGAAAACGCTAGCCAAAGCACTCAATTATGACGGAAACGAGTCAAGTAAATAATGGTAGAGGCAAATCAGAACCCCGGATTATAACTGGGCAGTGAATTTTCGTGGATGGAGCACAATAGCAGGTATACAAAGGGGCACATACCGATGGATTACCACTAACGTCAATGCCCACGATATGCTTCGGAAATCTTTGCCCATACTGCAGCAACAGTTCGACGGTTGACCGAGCCGCTTCTACTCCGCGGGCTCGATCAATAGAGAGAAGAAGGCGAACATCGATGCGCTTGGAGCAAACGCTTGGTGCATCGAATATACCATGCAGCACAGCCTCCACATAGAGATCGGCTGTGGGCAGTGGTCGTGGGGTCGAGCGTAACTCCAAGTAAATGACCCCGTCTGAAGCGAACTCTTCAATCACAGAGGAGGTAGCCTAGATGAAGCATGAGAAAGGTGCAACGGTGAAAACCAGTAGTATCGATAATTCGGCCAAAATGATACAGTAAGTGGAACGTGAAGCGTCGGAGTAACGAGCTCGGCGTGACAACTGAGAAAGTTGCTGCTGAATTCAAAGCGCACGTCAATCCTTATATCGGACGAAACTGGTTTCCATTTTCTCGAGTTATTCCACTATTAGGAGAGAAAGTGAAAAAATTCCTCATATTTAAGTTCAAGAAAAGCGAATCAATCGGCCCCAAATCATCCATTTTTTGTTCACCGCTTGTGTGCGGTTACCACAATTGAATGCACGCTGAATACCAATAAAGAAGAGTAGCCAAACAGGGATCATTGTAAAGCCAACCAGCACCTTTTCAGCTCCCTACACTCAGGAAATCTTCCGGCGTCATCAATGGAACAATGATTTTATAAGGGTGAAAAAGCTAATGCTTAACAAGTCAGTACGATGGTTAGCGTAAAACTTCAAAATATATAAAAAATGTTGGCAAAATTGGGTTTAAATCGATGAACTCACTGATGTATACGTAGTTTAAGCTGTAAATCCAAGGTAAATCTATACAGAAATGACGGCAAACAAAATGTTGGTAAAAAGCGTGTCTCCCCCTGGTGTACACATACAGAAGTTGAAAAAGTTGAACGAAATCTTGGATTTGACCGTCTGTGAAAACTCTTCCAGACACTTCTGTTTATCCATAGGTAATGAGTAATGTAGGATGGTGCAGCGAAATAAGTGCACGATCAACTCTGGCTTTGAACTCAGCCAGCGTGGAAGCACAATGACAGATTACGGTAGGGCATTCCAGCTTTGCAAACGCGTACAGAAAAGAATTCCGACACCATTCCAAACGACTGAGTGCTCTCCCAGCTTGACGACAACGACGAGTACACGTTGGCTGGAGGTGGAAAACACCTCAGCTATTGTGCCGCAATACAAGATAAAAGAAAAGGAAAACAGTGGCACGCCTGCTGAGCCCCCAGTAACGGATGGACATCGTTCCGGAGAGCTAACAGCTGGCTGCCGTAAAAGAGAACCGTATTATGCCTAACAGGTGAGATCTTGATTGGAGGGGGATACTAAACAGAAGGGGATGGACAAAGGAAATTACAACACAAACGCCAATGGTGCCGTATCCTAACTACACCAGCAAGTGTGTCCAACCATACGTGTTCACCGTCCTTAGGACCACAGCCAGGCAGCCGGGATGCACCAACCGACACCAACTTCGAAGTGAGGCTTTTCATCTCTCTCGACCAAATCATCGTTTGGCCTCCTCACCTCATTTTCCAATCGCATCCCCGGCGCGCAAACAATGCACATCGCGGGAGCCGGTGTGCTGGCATGCGCAACATGTGGCCCAGCCATCGGAGCCTGGTGCGTGATATAATGGTGCTGAGCGGTTCACTCGCTCCGCCTGCACCAAATACGCGACGCCAAACACGCTCATTGCTCACGCGGTGCTCCCACCAGACATGAGCTAAGCTGCGAAGGCAGCGATGATCGAATATGACGAACCTCTTTATTCCTGCCGACCTGTTGGGCCGGGTTTCACATCCATATAGGAGAGTTGAACGGACGGCTGCGTTGTAAACTCTGCCCTTCAGGGCGAGAGTAATGTCGCGTCTGCGCCACAGGTGGCGGAGATTGGCAAAAGCACCTCGAGCTTTTGCTATGCGGTTCGTAAAATAAAAAATGAAATGTGTCAGCTTATACGCCGTAACGGCGCTTCGCTGCCGCGCGACCACCACCAGTCGCGCGAGGGCTGAGTATACCGCGAGGACGCCCACCCCTACGCGGATTCGAACCGGTGACCTTATGGTTGGAAAGCAAACGTGCCGACCACTCGGCCACCGGCCGGTTCGTAACCTCATCTTCAATCCCACGGGTGCTAATATAGTTGCCCAGGTACTTGAATTCCTGAACGACTTCTAGCAGATCACCACCAAGCGTTAGCGTAGGGTTGGGTCCCTGCCAATCTTGGAGAAGTACTTTGCATTTCGATGGAGCAAAGCATAGCCCAAAACGATTGACAGCCAGTGCTAATCGGTCCAGTGCTCTTTGGCATGTTTGGGGGCTGTCACAGATTAGGGCAATATCGTCCACATACTCCAGGTCAAGAAGTCGCTCACCAGGAAGTAGCTCCACACCTTCTAGGTCGTGTCCAGCGAACGCTGTTTCCATGACTTCATCAATAGCGAAGTTGAAGAGGAAAGGTGACAATGGGCATCCTTGTCTCACACCGCTGGTGATACTAAAGGGTGGCGAGAGTTTGCCATAAACCCTCACCCTGCTCGAACTATGCGCGTACAGCGCTTTGATAATGTTTACATATTTATCAGGCACACCTTTCCCCAGCAGACAATCCCAAAGGGCACATCGATCGACTGAGTCGAATGCACCTTTTATGTCAAGAAACACGACAATGGTGGGTCGCTAATAAACATGGCGGTGCTCCAACACTTGACGCAGGGTGAAGATGTGGTCGATGCAGCCCCGACCTCGACGAAATCCGGCTTGCTCTTCACGAATCTGGCTTTCACGAGTGCCAGTCAGTCTGTGGAGAATGATAGAGGCAAGCAATTTAGAGGCAATCGAAATCAGACTGATCCCTCTGTGATTGCTGCATTCCAAACGAGAGCCTCCCTTGAAAATTGGGACAATGACGGAGCGGTTCCAGTCTGTCGGGACTGTCTCCTGCTCCCAAAGTTTTACTAGCAACTCGTGTAGATCATCTACTAGAGCAGGTCCCCGAATTTGAAGAGGGCTGGGGGAATTCTATCTGCCCCTGCGGCCTTGTGCAATTTCAACAGCCTGATCTCACGTTCGACCTCTGCGCGTGAGGGCGGATCCGAGGAGACGGCCCAAGGAGAAGGGCGCTCAATGCCCGAAGAAGAAAGCGATAACTCAGGTTTGTTAAATTGCCTTGCAAAGTGTTCAGCCCAACGCTCCAAGCGTTTTGACAAGCTGTGGATCAGCTGCCCACTCTCGTCGCGTATGGTCTCGCTAACACCAGGTCTCCTGCTGCCTGTTTCCCGTATCAGACGGAATAATTTACGATGATTACCCACGGCAGCGGCTGTTTCCATCTCAGAGGCACGATGAGACCACCAGGTTTCGCGGTCCTTCTTCAGGCTAGCACGTAGTTTTGCCCTGAGATTTTTGCGAGCCTCATTGTATTCGCTTCCAGCCGGAATACGTCGGCGAGCATCCATAAGTTCCATAGACTGTGTAGAGACCCAATGTCCGGTTTGGCAATTTGCTTTGCCACATGAAGACATGCCTACTCGCAGTAACGTTTGACGAATATGCGACCAGTGATCTTCAACGGTGTTTAGTGGGCGCTTACTCAGCCCAGATGTCAGCGCACTATGGTATACATTCAGAACATCTGGCTTCGCCAGCTGGCTGGTGTCAATCCGTTCACATCGACGTTGCGGACGTCCACCGAAACGCACCAGGAGGTCCGCACAGACAAGTGCGTGGTCAGAGTCCACGCTCGTGCTCCAAATTGAGCGACAGTTTTGGACACAGCCTCTCCAGCGATAACTGATCGCGATATGATCGATTTGCGTCCATGGTTGGCCCGAGGCTGGTGGCCGCCAAGTCAAGCTTCTGCGGGTGCTGTGTCGAAAGTTAGTGCTCGCGAGAAAGAGGCGAGCATCTTCACACAGCTGTAGCAATCGCTCACCATTATCATTACGGGAGCCCACACCATGTTGGCCGCCCAGATGAAGCTCATCAGAGGACAATTTTCCGACTTGGGCGTTTAGATCGCCAGCCAACACCACAGTATCCGTGCTTCTTCTGTAACGAAGGAGCTGATGAAGTTGCTGATAGAAAACATCTTTTACCGAAGCAGTGCTACAGTTTGTAGGGGCGTAAGCCGCAATGACAAACAGGCAACGTTTGTCCCCGCGCGACTTCGTAGCACGGAACGAACCAGCTAATCTAACGGCGCACATCCTACTGTTTACTGGGATCCAATCAATCAGGGCAGCTTCAGCCCGGGGACTCAAAACAATGCCGACGCCAGCTTGACCGGCATTTGAAGCTGCATCATCGCCAGACAGGCGCAATGAGAATGTGCCGCCAGTGTCGCATGTGGGGGATCTCAGGTTAAGCACGGAGCTCGAACTTTGCAGGCGGGTTTCTGATAAGCAGCAAATATCGATCGATAGGGTCTCTAGTGTGCGGGCAAGTGCTGCCTGTTGGCCAATCTGCAGCAAAGTACGCACGTTGAGGCATGCCAGTCTTAGCGAGACGCGAGGACTCCAAAGGGAAACGGATGAACTGACGTTGTCCGCTTGGTTGAACATGGACTTGTCAACTGGACTGGAGCGAGGCCCTGGGATTGTGTGTGATTTGAAATTAGAAGGCAAGCGACTACTGAAGTAAGCTGGGGGAGGGCCAAGAATTGGGGGATTGAAAATGGGGGGATATAAGTAAAGTTGGAGCGGGACGATAAGGATGAAGAAGCGCAAGAAGGGGTATAAGAAGACGGGAAGGCCTGAGCAGTAGCATCCATACCCCTATCCACCCTGCTCGATGCAGCAGATAGGGTGCCGTTGATTATCCTCTGCGACGGCCAGAGTATCAAGAAATTGTTGTAGGAAAGTTTCATTGTATTGCGTGGGCAGAATACTATCAGGTTGCCCAGGCCTAGACAGAACGATTAGGGTTCTCAACCAAAGCCTTTGGTTCAAAAATCTTACCAGCTTGAGATGATGGCCTCTCAAATTATTGTTGTGACTGAGCTCTAGCAAGTGGCGGCACGTGCGATTGGGATCTCTCAAAATCTAGTAAGTTAAAATAAGGTCCCCGTGCAAACGCATTCCGGCCACTCACTGCCGAAGTAACGAAATCACAGTATTACGAAACTGGCTGTCGCATGATAATTCGACTGTTTTGCGTCCTACCAAAGCTGCTGAAAACAGCTGGGTTAAGCTAGTTCCGTGTTGCAAAAAGCATTCCATCAATAATTTCCGACAACCGTTACCCTAGCGCGATGACCATCGCCACCTCTGGTAGCTAATTTTGCATGCTGTTGACTTTGTGAAACGACAGAGAGGAGCAGCAGTGAAGAAAAAATATGCCAATGGCCGTACGATCATCACACACTCGGACCTCAGTCATACAAATGTAGGGTCCTCCTGATATATGGGGAAATACGCTTACGTTGTCGCTAAAACGTTTTCGTAAGGGGTGAAATTCTTTCGATAGACAAATCGCCCAGAGGCGCCCACCGTGAATGTAACGGGGGTTACTATTTATGGAGAAACACACAGTAAAATGTCCGCAAATGGAGGAATACGCTTGGGACGACTGTGGTAAGCAAGATGGAAAACCAACTCACTCGCTTCAGTGCATCCGGCGTCTTGATTTGGTCATGGATGAGTGAGAACAGATGGAAACAACTGCAAGTGTAAAACTGATACGATATACCCATCAATATCACCCTTGTAATCAATAGCATCTGGTATCTTCAACTGAGCGCAGGTCGACTCATCGTAGTTAAGGATACCACGAAGGGTGGTCATACTGATACTTCCAGACAAATGAGCGTGCAGCTCCTGAAAATGCGGTTTAGACGAATCGGGACTTACTATCTTCGGAAGACTGGTGAAATAATGCTCCATATGATAACCGAGATTGGAGAGCTGAACAAGGTACAGAATATGAGTGACTACGGTGTACAGTAATAAAAATCATTGCAATCGGGCGATGGGGCACAGAGCAATATGATAGAGAAAGAGCCACTAGCACTGCATGGGGTCCGTTTGGGAGGGATAAAAGTAAAGGATCTCAGAATGCACATTCCCACGGTGAAAAAGATATAGGCGATGTTTCATCTGAACAGTAGTTAGTCAATCTTAAATTTTCTGGGATCAAATGACCTTCAAATGGCTCCCAGCAAGTTGATATTTCGGAGGAGGCTCTTTCGACTGTATCGCATAAGATGGGCAGTGACGACAGGTTCGATTTTTGTCGACATTTTCCTTTCGTCGATCAAGGTGCAAGTCGAGCTTGCTGCGTCCAGCGATTTACGGTGCTTGAAGTATGGCTGTTTAAACGAGAAGTTTGTATAATTTCCAAGTTTTAGATAGATGTCGAAACACTAGTTACTTTCACCTCTCCAGAGCAAGATCAATCTCTCGATGGAAGCACTCACCACAGTATTCATGCATGCGCCACCCGCATTGTTAAGGTTTATTAAATAAGAGCAGCGAGATCCGAGAAGAATAACCGTGAAAGTAACAAACAATGAATCAACAATGGAACTATGGTTTAATGTGAGTAAAAAAGCTAAAGCTTAACAGGTCCCGTAGGATAGTCATAGTGAAAATTCAAAATATGGAAAAATTGTCAGTAAAATTAGGTTCACACCGGTAGACTCACCGCGGTATACGTAGTATAAAATGCAATTCTACTGTAAGTCCGTAAGGAACGATGACAAATAGAGGGAGTAGTGAACATTGTGCCGCCTCTTGTTGAACACATACGAGAAGTGAAAAATGTGGAAAGTATTCTGGGAGTTAACCGACAGTGAAATCTCTAACAGACACCCTTGTTTAGGCATGGGTAGTGAGACATGTGATACGGTCCAGTGAAATGAGTGCAAGGTCACCTCGGACTCTGAACCCTATCAGCGTCGGAGCACAGATGACAGATTGCGGTAGGGCATTCCACGCTTTGCGATCGCATACGGGAAAAAATTTCGACGGCATTCCAAGCAACTATACTGTTCTGTCAGCTTGAGATGGTCGCCTCTCAATTAACTGTTGTCCCTAAGCTCAAGCAAACGGTGGCGCATGTGGTTGGATTCTCTGGTGGCGGTTGTGCTTCGGACGTTCGCTTGAGGGACACCGCCCGGAGCCTTTGGCTCAAAAGCCTGACCCACAAGGCAGTGGGGTGCAAATCCAGCTCGGAAATGTGATCGCAGAGACAGATAGGGATCTGCTTGACGGCCGTCACACGTAGCCTTGGAGGTACTGGAACAATTCATATGTGTTTTACAACCGTAGTAGGATACACCTGCGACCACGACCAGACGCAGAAGGGTTTTGACGGGTTTGCACCAATTTGACCAGGGGCTGTCTGGCTTGAGGCGAGCAATAGCAAACCACTGAATACCCGGAGGTGCCCTCCCACCGTCAAAGACAATTCGTGGCGCTCCTGCTCTAAGAAAATGGAGCTGTGAGCTTATAACTTGTAGACATGTTGTCTCCCATGGCCACGTGAAAATGGCCATCGACCACTTCCCGACCTCCGAAGAGGATGGACTAGGATACTGGCAGGGCGCCGACGCCTGACAGGAGAACGACTCGGGTCCTCAGCTAAAGGCTTCGATTAAATGTAAACCCGAAGGACAGCGGGTTTAGCATATGGTCAGCTCACCGGCTCACGCGGGTTGGTGTCCTGGCTCTTACTTAGAAGAAGGGCGTAACCCAACTCCCACCCAGCGGCAGGCACGAGCAGGGTCCAGGACATGAGCCCATGGCACAACAGTAGCAGCAATGGGTAGACCATGAGTCAGGATCTAGCCACCACCAGCCTCAGCGCACCATAGGCTCTCCCGCCAGGTACGTGAAATAACAGGAATGCAGACCGCATACATAGCTAAAGCCGGCATGCTCCCTTATTCTTGTTTAGATTCGCAGCGCATTAACCACTTCAGCATGCGGCTGTAGTGGGCATCAACCGGTCAGACGCTTCGTCACAACAGCAACAAAGACCTCCGCAGTGAACTGTATCGAAATGCCATCAGAAGCATGCCGACACATCGTTCTGACGTTTCGCTGCCCGTGACCTGCTGCTGTCATGTAATGCCTGGGGACACCGCGAGTATGCTCGCACTTACGCGGATTCGAACCGGTGACCTACGGATCAAAAGGCAGGCGTTCAATCCTTCTGCCCACCGGCTAATAGACTGTGTATTCAGATTGATGGTGTTCAACCATCCGGCATCCGTGTGTTGATCGGCGCGGCAATGAAGTCACTTTCGTAAGTCCTTCATATGGGTGTTGCAGTGCGGCGACTAATGGGAAATTAAGTCCTTTACATACCGAAACCCCGACTACTATTGCACTTCTTTTAAAGGAACTCGAAACATCCGATTCACCAATTATATAACCACCATGCTATTTCTAGCTACTTCAAACCACCCTTTAGTCCGCTTTTAGCGGCCAGCCTAGATTTCCTGTATACGCTCCTTGGCTTCGTTCTCGTAATGTCGCGCCACAATGACTGTTTGACAACGGTGCTTTGCACATCGAGTTTGACAGAATCTAATCGCGTGCGCAGTGATCCCCCACCAAAATCTACGGCTGTGAACAGCCCGTGGTGTTTTAGCGTGATAGCTTATTGTAATGCTAATCATTCCAACATCAAATAAGTTAATGATGCAGTAGCACAGGTTAACACCGCAACTGAGATGACACCAAGGACAGTAGTGGCGAGCAACCAGACTCACTTTGTGATATCCACACGATCATTGGTGCAGTAGTGTCGAAGAAAATAGCACCGGCCGAAGAAAAGAAGATTTCGAGGGTTGATTTGGAGGGACAGCCATCGGGCTAACCATACATACACGGAATTAAAGCTACATTGGTAGGTGGAAAAATCATAGTAGACAATGCTATCGCGAGCGGGGCTATAACGACGGCCCTAGAGATAAATTAATGAGATGATGGCTTTTAAGCCACATCGGTCCACGGCTAACTGGAGCGTTAAATTGCAAACGAAAGCTTCCAAGTTAGTACCCAGCATGAAAACAAAGCCCTTGGAAAAGGTCTCACGGATTATCGTAGTACTTCACTGCAATGTTTGGCAAGGTGGTTACTCTACCACACTGTCAACTTTTCCGCCATTCGAAAGCGTTTAACTGATCGACCACTCTTAAAACACCTTTCGGGACTGACTAAGATAAACTGAATAATTACTTGATCTCACCAGGTAGGCACTAGAACCCGTTGCGAGTCACGACGAGCAGCAATTGTGACAACGGCCAATGACTGATTAGAAGGGTCACTTTTTCAAATACTTGTGTGAGTGAACTGTGTAGTGCAATCTCAATGTGGATCACGATTTGCGTTGCAGTGAACCTCCGCCACTTTTATCACTGGAACAGAAACGAAAAGTGATTTCTCTAATCAGCCATTAAATATTATGACAAGCGTTGCCCATCGTGACTCGGTGGCTTAGGGGTAGAGGTTCCGGCTAAAATCTTAAAGACCCCAGGCTCGAATGGCCGCGATCTCTAACTAATGAGATCAAACAATACGAAAAAGGCCGTGAAATGCAGTGCCTTTAGGTGGACAGAATCCAACATCTATTTGCTTCATCAGTTACGGTCCCAGTGATCGAATCGACCAATGTTCACCTCAATACGAAGGGCAGTCTACATTACGACCGCGCGTCACAACCAAATCACACAACGAGTGCTCCAAAAAAGACCCCACCAATGCATAATGATCTGTTTTATGCGACCCTTCTGCACAAATTGTTAAGACCTCTTAGTTGAACTGAATCTCACAGTGTAGATAAATATAGTGATTGATTAATTATGTATAAAGGCTACGCAGCTCCTAGAAAAGGTGCGTAAAATGTGCAACGGATTGTGATCCTGGAAGATAATGCCATTGGAGTGTTTACATAATATTCGCTAGCACAGTCAGATGGAGCGAAAGTACTTCAATGGCATGCTGTACACCGTACCGAAACTCACCAGGACGCTTTACAAGGCTGTAGACAAGTTGGTCGGCATCAAGAGACGTGGAATAAAAGCAACAGAAACGCACTACATTGCAGATGAGCAAGTAGCAGGCTATGATTGGATACGAGCAGAATAATATACATGGAAAAATAATACTGTGCAACAAAAATTTATTTTCTATATCAAAAATGACGATGTCGCTACCTTATAGAATACACTCCAATTCCAATGTTACTTAGCACGTCAGGTTACATTGCTATAAGCAAATGATAATTTATTAATGTCAAGGCTAGGTCATATGAATATATAAATGTACCGTGTCACAACATGTACAGGATGCATCTATGTGGCAAATATGTTTAAAACGTCACTGCAACACTCGCTTGCAACTTGGTACTGGGAAATCATGACATTGCTGAGATCGTCGCTTGTATGATCCAACGCCCTCACGCTGCAGAAACCAGCAAAAGTCACTCATCATAGGTGTGTCCCTGCCACTGTAGCGCTGCTCCATGACTGAAATGTCTTGGTGAAAGCGCTCAACATGCTCATCGCTAACAGATCCCAACTTCTCAGGGAAAAAGACAAGGTGATTATGCAAAAGTGTATCTTGAGTGACATTCCGGCACCAACAGCCAGATAGTCCGTAAGGAGATTTTTGGTGACGTCTTTGTAGTTATATGCCATTGTTCTGCCCAAAAATTGTGTACACAATGCCTTCAATGATCGCCGGGATTCCAACTCAAATGAAGTCAAATGGCATTGGAAAGTACTGTCTGCCATTATCCGGTGAATATTAGGCCCAATAAGTATCTTCTTTGAGCTTCGCACCACAGATCTTCGGAAACCCTTGTTTCAAGCAATGGAACGCAAAACCATCTCACTTGAGGCTTTGACGAAGTTTTTAATCAAACCAAGCTTGATGTGCAGGGGTGGTATATAGATA